ATGACAGGGCTCCAAATGCATGCTAATATGTTAGAAGTCGTAACTTTATTACGGGACAAAAGTAAACACAATTTGACTTTTTGGGTAAAGTTTGTCACTTTAATTTGCATCGATGAAACAATACAAAACACTTATAAATCATGAATAATGCAACAAGATTGTCATTAAAGTCCCATATTACACCCACCCATGTGTTGGGTACTTATTTCGGCTGATTAGACCTCTTCTCAGGATTGTGTGGGCGTGTGTAGCCGAGCTTGATTGTCCTTCACTCTCCTCGCTGTTTTGTCGCAATTGGGGTTGAGCTAATTTTAACTGTGTTCTAGTGAAATAGCATAAGCAAGTTTGTTAATCGGACTATATGTACTATTTGATTGTAACCCTTTCAGATATGTTCACATACAGTACATGGGCAAAGTAAATATGATCGACTTGCATATTCCTTTTGAAGCTATGACGTCAGATTCTCCCCACAGTGACCAGCACCGAAATATGATGAGAATATTGTGCTTAACCCAAAAAGACATAAAAAAAGTGATCCATCAAGATCACTTATGTAATGTTTCAGCTGTAACAGTTGACCATCTCTATATCGTCTTGCTAATGAGATCTGTGCCAGCGGAAAACAGGCTTTAAAAGAAGAACAATCTACTGTTTCCTTTTCATCTTTTAAAAGCACATTTCAAACTTTATGTTATAATGTTGATGGAAAGTTGTGGGTGAATTATCCAAGCTTATATTTGATATACCCCATTTGGTAGTGTCTGTCATGTTTGCCACTGGGTTAGTGCAGCTCTCTTTTTCTTAACATTCATGGAATAACCCACTCATACATTAAAGTATCCTTCCTCATTACCATACAGAAACTTGCAAACTTGAAATAAAGTACAATGAGTCCAAAAGTAAACTTTGACAACCCCTGAATAGTGTCTGAATATTTGGCATACTATTGAGCTTGCTTCAGATTATAAAAGAAAATAATTTTGGATGATAAATGTTCCACAGTAACAATCTACAGACGTGCATTTAACGCACTTTAGGTGCAGGGACAACCCTCACATGCCCCATAATGTACTCTGTACGCTGTCCTCTTTATGAACTTGCCAATGAGCATCCTGCTGCATTATTTACTTGGCTTACAGAAATGCAATTAGAGAAAGAAAGACGGAAGAAACTCATAAACAGCGAATATTGATAGCAAGCATCAGAAAAGGCGAGTGTCATAATGATTGTTAAGATGTGGGGGTTGTTGTGCGCAATAACAATCAAAGTTGCATATGTGTGTGTACGTGTGTGTGTGAGTCTCATTAGGATGTGTGGGATGCAGAACAGCAGACAGACATTGTGACTAACAACCATGGGCACTCGTAATCAGGGCTTCGCTCACTCCTCAGCGGCATAAGGTCACCTGTGATTGATTCAAATGAGAGGAAGCATCATGCATGTCTTTAAAGCCTACACGGCTGAGTGAGTGTTAGTATTATTGGGTGTATGAATTGGAGTGTATGTACGACAATAACACATCATTACATGTTCAGTGTTTCATAGCCTTTGAGAGTGCAGCTGCACAGAGGATGAGTGAGAGCAGGTGCACGAGTGTTCGAGAACATCTTAAAATGTGTGGGTTTGCTTCTGAATCAATACGTCCTTGAAATCATAATGTGAACCGCTGGTGTTGCTGTAACTTTTGTATTACTTTTGTTCATATCCACAGCTGCAGTTTAAAGCAGTTCATCCACTGCTTTAAAGATTTAAGTTTTATAATGAAGGTTTAACAATTCAAAGCTGAGCAACTTTGAGGCAAACCTCTGTTTTATTACCATAATCCTGCACACTTTGAGCCATTTCAATTGGATTCTTCTTCTGCATGCATGGAAGGTTTATACAAGTGTCTTTCAAAATTAGAAAATGTGTCATAAGCCTGGAAGATCACTCAGAAAGCCTTCAATGCTTTCTTTATATTGTCAATAACAGATTAGCTCCCTCAGTATTTTAATGATATCACATTTTATAGTTTTGATTGTAACTGTGTGCTTTGGGAGATTAGCTATGCTCCTTACAAAACCCAGAGGAAAATAATGTTTGCGAAAGCGGACTCAAAAAAGCAGGATGGCAATTCAAATCCAGAATTAATTTTTCATCATAAGGTTTTAAAACGAATCCTCCCAAGTAAGCCTTTTGTCAAATTACACATACATTGAAAAAGCCTCATCCATATGCCATTTAAATGACAGCAATTTGAAGATGATCCCTATGACAAGCTTGTACAGCAGCGTCTTGCTGGAAGGAATTCCAAAAGGCAATTTCAGAACAGTACAAACATAATCATGGAATCATTTACTTCTCAGGTTATTAAAAAGCTTCCTCTTAAAGGTCTATCTACATTTATTTTCCCAAAGTTCAGTGCTTTCAACAACTTTAAGACAATAATTTGAATTTTTAATACATTCAAGAGTCTCTCAAATAAAACTTCAAATCTTTTGCAAGCAACATTGTGGCTTCATTTACTGTGAGAGATGGGACAGTTGGTCTGAATAATGTAATAACAAACTGCTGTTATGGACAACAGTTTTCATTATTCCAACTCACTTCTGTGAAATCATGTTGCGTAGACCACTCATAATACTGTAATTTCCATAAACCCCTGCTGCCAAATGAAAAAGCCAGCCAGAATACTCATGGTGAGTGGCAGTTAACTTCCTCCTGGTGTTTTTATTAACCCAGGCTTGTACCTTTGACTTTTATCACCCAATAACCAGACATTTTCTCACACAGTGGTTCATCTTCTGGGCTGATTCTTTATCTGGCAAAGTTTTGTTACAATCCAAGTGGTGGAGGTGGTCCAGCTATGAGTCACCTCACATTGTCTACGGAGAAAATGAATAGAGCTTTCACTTACAGAACCGCTCGGCAGCTCCATTAACTATTGTCAGAGAATAATTCTTCCTTACTCTTAAGATATACTTTTCTGCCTGTTGACGTTTATGACCTACCCTGACTCTGTTATCTGTCTTAAGGAATGGGAGGCCTCAGCTATAATGTTGATATCAGTTTTATGACCGGGCAACTATCGGTCACAAATGGTTTATGATAGTGGGAACGCTGGCTTTCTAGCCTGGGTCAGTCAGGTGATTCAGTGTCTCGAGATGTTGGGGATATCTCCAGTGTTCCCAGATGTTTACGTTATCTCCCCCAATATGTTGATTAACACTCTGTAAATTAGTTAAAAGGTCTATCGAGAGAGAGGCTGGGCAGAATTGATGTGGCAACCCACCCGTGCAGTCAGAACCTCTGGCTGCTGTGACTTGTGATGTGAAATTCTCCGGCCGATACTGTGATTGACGGTATCCTAAAATTACCTGTGAAACTGAGCGGTTGTGTTTCGTTTTTGGTTAATGAACATTTGGGNTTCAGTGGGCCCAGCTGTTTGGATTATCTCCCCCAATATGTTGATTACTCTCTGTAAGCTAGTTAAAAGGTCTATCCAGAGAGAGGCTGGGCAGAATTGATGTGGCAACCCACCCGTGCGGTCAGAACCTCTGGCTGCTGTGACTTGTGATGTGAAATTCTCCGGCCGATACTTGTAACAAACTATCAGTGTTTGACATCAAAGCTCCAACTCTCCTCGTGTCTCTCTGAGTCCTGACTCTCCATTGCTGCAGAAGTTTCCCTTACATACCGCAATGTTCCTGTTTGAAATAACTCCAGGTTTAATAATCTGTTCAGAGATGAAGAAGGTTAGAAAGTGGAAACTCCAAACAGGTAAAAAGTGTAAGAGACAAAAAGTGCAAAGATCTCTCATTAATATTAAAGACAACGTGCTTCTCCTTCAATAATAAAGAGGTGACTTCACATCTGAAACTCTGCTCCATCTACACAAACTCATGATGTGCAGCCAGACCAATCAAACCCACAGAAACTGATTCAACTCAAGATCTCAACGTTTACAAAGATCACAAATATTTCATGATGACTTTTGAAGAAATGTGAACAAAAAACCAACAGAATATTTATTTTAGGAATAGTGGAGTCATCAAATCACAGCATCTTCAGTTTGAACTATTCAGTCAGTAAAAGCATCGTGTAGCTTCAGAAAACAGAGAGCCAACAAATGGATTATTTATCAATCTAAAAACACTGAAACTACAAGACCTGGTTGACTATAAAACTCTCCAAATGATGTTCAAAGCCACAAATCAACAACGGCCTCATGGTATCCAGGGACTGTTCACTCAGAGAAAACCAACGTGCTGAGAGGAAACTGCATATTCAAAAAACACATACGTACAAATTCCAAACTTCACTTCATAACAGAGAAAGGTGTTGATCTGTGGAATAGCTGGAATGATGAGCTGAGATACTGAGCAGCTTCATCTCAACTAAAACTACTTTTCAGAACAATATACTAATGGTTATGATCAGGAGCCGTGATTTCCTGCTTATTCTTGTCTGTGACGATTTTGGTTGACCTGTAAAGATTATTTCTTTTGTTTTTTAGATTTGTACAAAGAGATGATTTTCTTTTTTTTAAACAACGTATGAAATATCACGGATGCTGATGACGATGAACTGAACTCTGATTTTCATGAACTATGTATGCTAGAGGGGAACGACCAGAAAGGGTTAGAAGCTTCTTCTTCTTGCCCCTTTTGAACATGAAGGAAACTACTTGAGTATTTATTTTAATACTTTGAAAAGTATTTTGTTATTTTGCTTCTTTTTATTATTATTCATTTTCTGTTTGTTTTTTTTGTTGTTTTTTTTAAACATGTTCAATAAATTGACTAATAAAACAATAATAATAATACAAACATATTAGATGTTTAGGAGTTTTAATAGAAATATGTTCTTGTTGTATTTTGTGTATCATTTATTTAAAGCATGCTTCAGAATATAAGGTGAGTTTCAGGTGTTTGAGATGAGTGCATTATGCAGGGTAGGATAGTCAGCATTAAGATGCTCAGTGAGGATCAGAGTGATATCAGCCTGATGTCTGCAGCTCAGAGTCAACACAACTCTCTTCATCTCAGCACAGAAGTGAAAGATGGAGAACTGACCTGAGAGTCTCCAGTCTGCAGTCTGGACTCTCCAGAAGATCTCTCAGCAGCTCCACTCCTGAATCCTGCAGATCGTTGCCACTCAGGTCCAGATCTCTCAGATGGATGTTGGACTTCAGAGCTGAGGCCAGAGCAGAACAGCTGATCTCTGACAACCTGCAGTCCTCCAGACTGAATAAAGAAAACATGATGTAACTTTAGAAAACAATGTTCCTGTTTGAAATAACTCCAGGTTTAATAATCTGTTCAGAGCTGAAGAAGGTTAGAAAGTGGAAACTCCAAACAGGTAAAAACTGTAAGAGACAAAAAGTGAAAAGATCTCTCATTAATATTAAAGACAACGTGCTTCTCCTTCAATAATAAAGAGGTGACTTCACATCTGAAACTCTGCTCCATCTACACAAACTCATGATGTGCAGCCAGACCAATCAAACCCACAGAAACTGATTCAACTCAAGATCTCAACGTTTACAAAGATCACAAATATTTCAGGATGAATTTTGAAGAAAAACATCCAGAATATTTATTTTAGGAATAGTGGAGTCATCAAATCACAGCATCTTCAGTTTGAACTATTCAGTCAGTAAAAGCATCGTGTAGCTTCAGAAAACAGAGAGCCAACAAATGGATTATTTATCAATCTATTTTCTTTATTCGTTTTCTCTTGACCGTTGTTGTTCACGTACAATTTTGGTCCGCCGTTTGGATACCGAACCTCGGATCTACATACGCCCTGAGCCGCACGGTACCCAGGAGAGGGCCACCGGCTCTGTGTATCGTACCCCGTCATCTGGACGCAAGTCCCAGACACCAGGCAGGGTCCTTCCACGTATAGTGTATTTGCACGATCCGAAGCACGGCACGACGGAACGCGAGGCCGTTGAAAATGGCTGTTGACTACCTTCCGTACACGAAGGCATTGAGCTGTCTAGCATGGAGCTATGTGGTACAGGCGCCAAATGGGGTCTAAGTTGGTGGTCCCCCCGTGGTCCAGGGGTGTCGACGAGGCCCAAAAAGTGTCGGGGAACAGACCGCAGAGGGGCGGAACCCCGAGAAGGTACTGTTCCAACGGCGGACCAACAATTGTACGTGAAAACAAACGTCAAGAGACAACGAATAAAGGGAAAAAAGGAATGTAGACCGACGTCGAGACGAGCAAGTAAAAAACAAAACGCTCAGACTGGTGTTTCGGAGGGTCCACCGGGCTCCCGGATAGATACCCAACGCGGGGATGTAAGCGGATCGAGGTCAAAAACTTACTGTCGGTGAGTGGTGTCTAGTGTATGTTCCGTTGTGAGTAATGTCTTTGATAAGGAAAACAGCAATCGTGCGTGACTCGATCGAGCCTCCGATTGCCCCATCTACACTCTGTCGACAAAGATAGGTTGGGCTTGTTCCTCTCCTCTCTCTCCTTGTATAGGCAGCAGAGCAAAAGGCCCTGACTCTCCGGATCTATTGAAGCTCGGATCCACTCTCCACTCGGATTTCCTAACTTATAGGTATTTAAAGAACGGGAAGATACCCACTTATTCTTCAGGCTTACAACGTGTTGGGTGTCTAACTACGTAAATTCGAACGTTGGAAAGTTTCTTTATCCTAGAGACGGAGGCACCCGTGTGGTGCCTCTGGCGCTGGGAGAGTCCGGGGTTACAGACCTCCGTCAGCGTGGGTGTTTATTTCTGCCCATGTTGCGTACCCTGATTCCTATGCTTGTCCATATCCGGTCTCTGAATACCGATGAGGAGTAATGTATTTGCCGAAGGGGTGATGTGTGTAAAACAGCAAGAACTGTATATTCAGAGGTATCTCAGGGATTGTCTTGTCGACATCTCCGTCACCTGGCTTCAGAGTCCTAGATACATTTAAGACCAAGCGCGCTTAATGTGTGAGTTTTTGCGACACCAGAGTGACGCTCCTGGGGGACTACATCCACAAGAAGGTCGAAGAGTTTGCGCTTAATCCGACAATGTGCGAAACCGATTGCTCAAATCCCGCGTGTAGCTTACGAGGCAGACTGTCGGGCGCATGGTTATCCGCGAGAAAGATAAGGGGCTGTGCACTTTGCTTCTATACAGACAGGACTCGCTGCGAGTAGCCACAAACGCTCAGGAACCAATGGTAATGATTTACCAGAGTACCAGTAACCTCGCTCCCCGCCCCGCTTGAGTACCTCGGACTACTGAGAGTTTTGTTTTCGTGAGAGTGCGGTAGTCGAGACCCGAACCGGGACCCCCGGAATGCCGTCGGCAGGGGGATCATGGACGCTCCTAGGCCGAACCCTGGACGGGATCGACAACTGCGGGATAGTAAGGAGGAGCTGGGACCGGGTTCACCGACAGGAATTCCGTCGTAAAGAGGAGAACGGTATTTAGTCCCTTCGCTCAACCCCTCAACGTACGGAGAGGCACCTCAGCATGTAAGGACTCCCCTTAGGCTACCGAGCCCACAACGGAGGAGACCGGCTTACACCGCAGGACGGGTTCCACGAAGGTGAACGGGTGTAGGTTAGCTGGGTAGGTGCCGTGCGAAATTTGCAGGGTGTCCTCTCGGTGCATGCGGCGTTCAACGACACGGGACACGCCCGGGTTCTCGCATACAGCTAACGAAGCCGGACATACTGCGTCAGTCCTCGTCTGAGAAGCAAACGGTACCCCCGTGATCCATTCCCAATCCCGAGACAGGTTCGTACGCACTAGGGGGGTGACAACTGTATGTTACGTCTATATCCCGTCACCGAAGTATGACGTAGGTCCACTCTACGTGAGGATGGCCTTGCAGAGTATGCCGCGACGGGACTCTCCTCAGTGAGACTCTGTAGACGAAGTCGTCGCAGCACCCGCAGAAGACCGTGTAGAGGAGCCATGGATTAATTACAACTATGGCTGCGGTAGGAAATAATTACATAAGGACAGCGGTCAGGTATAAGCGATGTTACTGAATAAATTGCATAGTAGTACTATAATCCGAGCGACCATAGTAGTATGTTGCCGTTACTTTTTTCGTGCGTCGTCTCGCGTCAGTCATCTGGAGATGACGTGACCTATCAATGCAGCACTTCGGGTGTCCAAGAACAACGATGACAATAAAGATACGTTCTGCGGTCTCTTTGTTCTGTTTGTTTGAACTGAAACTTGAGATGTCCTTCTATTCCTCCTGAAAAATGTTTTTTGATATCTCTAACAACAGGTCTCTCCTCTGTACCTGAACTATATGGTTCACAGTGCCATTCCGGTGTCTACGACATCAACTAATACCGATGATGCTTTCCTGTGAGGTTTATATAATCTCAACTCATAGGAGAACAACTTGCCTAGTAACATATGTGTACTTAGCTTCGTAGTCTGCATTTTCGAAAAGACTCACTTGGACCTTGGTATTGCGGCAAAACTAATTCCGAGTCTTATATTATACCTCCAAAATATCAGGGTGAGACTTTCCTCACGGAGTCGTACTTGG